TATTGTATCATTTGATGCTGACTTCCTAAACCAGGTACGTGCTATGACCATTAAAGATTCAGTAGCCATTGATATCAAGCAACATACCAATGACGACAAGTTCAAGGTGGAGGAAGATCTTTTATACTTTAAAGAGCGATTGTACATTCCAAAAGGAATAGCACGACTCCGAGTTCTTCAATCTTGCCATGATTTTCCAACTGTGGGACATTTTGGATTCAACAAGACCTTGGAGCTTATTTCCCGAGATTTTTGGTGGCCCCAAATGTGGAAGGATGTGAAAGATTTTGTCCTCTCTTGTGACATCTGTTTAAGATCTAAGAATCCTCGGCATCGCCCTTATGGACTTCTACAGCCATTGCCAATTCCTCGTCGACCATGGTCTTCAATTTCTATGGACTTCATCACGGACTTGCCATCATCAAACTCATTTGACAGCATCTTTGTCGTGGCAGATCGGCTTACGAAGATGGCACACTTTGTTCCTTGTAAGAAGACATCGTCCAGTGAAGTTACAACAAGACTCTTTCTCGATAATGTGTATCGATATCATGGACTACCAGATGATATCATACCAGATCGAGGTACCCAGTTCGTGTCAAAGTTTTGGAGATCTCTCTTTGGGATATTGAAGGTGGATATCAAGCTTTCTTCAGCTTTTCACCCTCAAACTGATGGCCAAACGGAATGGATGAACCAAGTCTTGGAGCAGTACTTACGATGCAGCATCAACTATCAGCAAGACGATTGGACTGCATATCTACCGCTAGCCGAGTTTGCATATAACAACACCCTCCATGCGTCGACTCAACAAACACCATTCTTTTCCAACTATGGATATCATCTGAAGCTTGATTTATTGAGTCCGTCAACAAATAACAATCCAGCAGCTGAAGGATTTGCGAAGCAACTATCAGAGCTTCAAACTATGTTGAAGCTTCAATTACAATCCGCTCAAGAATCCTATAAGTCGTCTGCAGATAGATTTCGGAATCCAGCACCTACTTTCAAAGTTGGAGACAAAGCCTGGTTTCTTCAATGAAATATCAAGACCAAGCGACCATGTGATAAGTTGGACTATCGAAGATTGGAACCATTTATCATCCAGAAGCAAATTAATCCAGTGGCATACCGGCTGGAGTTACCGGCTTCTATGAAGGTACATCCAGTCTTTCATGTTTCTTTGTTGGAACCTTATCGAGAGTCATCTTTTCCTGGAAGAGTGCAATGTCCGCCACCTAGTATTGAAATCGAGAACCACGAAGAATACGAGGTTGAAAAGGTATTGGATTCACGGCGAAGGTGGGGAAAGTTAGAATATCTTGTTCATTGGTGTGGCTATGACATTAATGAGCGAACGTGGGAGCCAGCTGAAAATCTTGCGAATGCGCCACAAAAGGTACAGGAATTTCATCAACGACACCCGCATATCATGTATAATCTCTTCAACTTCCATATCTTCTTTTTTTGATGTAAATATTGAAGTTTGAATAATATGCATTATTGGTTGTATTATATGCACTTGAGTTTACGTGCTTATATTTTTCTTAGAGTATTAATCCTATCTTTTTTTATTTCTTATTTTGTAAGCAAATCCATTGTATTTTTAATATTTTTTAATTTTTTTATCAATTCTTTATCTTCTTCTTTGTCTTCAAGTAGAAACTCCAATTTTTCTTATAATTCTCTATTAATAGCTTAAAAAAATAATTCAACCTTTTTTGGCTCCAATGTTAAATTTTTCACCTTCAATAATTAAAAATATTACCTTTCAAGCTCCTTTAATATTTCTAATGCTTGTAAATTCTTATTAGGCTATTTAATCCATTCTAAAATTAATTTCTTAGTAATACAATTGGTGTCTTCCAAGAAATATTTATTTTTTAATGTATGTAAAAATATCTCCTATAAACTTCCAAAATGCTTCATAATTGATATGACATATTTTTTATGTCCAATATTATAGAAATTCTAAATAAATTAATCATATTTTTTTCAAAAATCTGATTTAATTCCATTTTTTATACATAACATCTTAAATACTTTGAAATATCTCTTCTATCAAATTGGTGAAGTTTGTTATATACTACTTGCAATGCTTTGGTTGCCAAATATTCCTTGTGGTCATTGCTTTGTTGTTGTTGTATAGACAATTGAAAAGCTTGAAACATACTTACAATCAATGGATCCATATATATGCCTTATCCTTTAGTGGAAATTCTACTAAAAGTTCTACTTAAAGCTCCTTCCATAGCTTCTTCAAACTCTTAATCTTATTTTCCAATAAATAAAAATAAAAATAAAAATAAACAAACTCCAAGATCTTTCATCTCAAGCTTTTACATTAGATTCACCAAATATGTTGTATTATGTGACATCTTGCTTGAGAATGTGTCAAGCTTTTGGCTGTAGAAGGTAAAAGAAAATTGCAAGAATAAGTTTTGACAATTCTAATATTATTTTGTATAAATTGCCATTAAAGATTAACAAACATAATCAAATATTGATCAAGTTCAATTAAATTTTTAAATAAATTATAAAAAAAAAATATAAAAAAATCCTAAGTATTTCCTAATCAAATCCTAAAAAAATCTTAGACAAATTCCAAACAAATTCTAATCATATTCTAATCAAATTTAAATCAAATCCTAATCAAATCCTAAAAAAATCCTAAAAAATCTTAGACAAATCCTACACAAATTTTAACCAAATCTTAGATAAATCTTAATCAAATTTTAAATAAATTTTAATCAAATTCTAAATAAATCCTAATAAAATCTTTAAAAATCTTAATGAGATTTTAGATCCTAAACCAACCTTAAATCTTAAATAAATTTCCAACAAATCCTATGGCAGATTAAAATCTCTATAATAAACAATCAAACTATTGATTTCAACTCAAATTTTTCACGCCACTCAACAACTAAGCTGGCAATAAATACAAATATTACTTAGATAATAAAATTTATTAAATAGAAGATAAATCCTAAAATCTGCTTGAGTTATGGCTAGCTTCTTTTTTTATTATTGATGCTAATCTTTTTGAGCTAAAATCTCTTAATTATATTATTAAATACCTCTTAAAATTTACGTATATATTAAAAATTAAGTCTACTACTTATATATATATATATATATATATATATATATATAAAAATTTTATTTCAATCCAACTAGCAAATTGATAAAGATCTTAAAAATCCTTATTGACCTTTAAAGCCCTATTTTTGAAACCTCAACCTATTTAAACTTCAATAATCTTTAATTTAATTATTTGATCATACTCAAATTTATAAAATATAATAAGAAAAATTTTAATTACAAATTTATAAATTTTTACATCTAGATCTACTACCAAACTTACAAAATTCTCTCAAATGTAAATATATATATTTTTTAATTTCACAAACCAAATTCACCAAAACAATCTTGACTTTGCAAAACTCTTATAAAGTCATTGTAAACTCAAATTGCTCAAAATCCTATAAAGTTTTCTTTCAAATTCTATATTTTGATTTATAAAAAAACCATGGAGTTATTGTAGATGTATGATTTTATGCCTTGGGGTCTAATTTTAATCTTAGTTGGCAACTACTCCTTTCTAGGTATCAATTCTTATTTTCTTGAGATAATTTTTGCTAAAATGAACTCGTAACTTCCTAGGACATAAGCTTATATCTTTTATTATTCTAATCTATATTATTTTACATTATTTATGGTCCTTCAAAATAGGTAGAAGCCTACTTTGTAAAAAAGCAACATGTACACTTTGAGTTTTACTACCTTTTGACTATTATCTATATTTTTAAGAAAATTTGCTACAATATTTTGAAATAAGATCTTCTATAGTACAATATTTCTTCACTCTTTTATGTATTAGCCATGTTACAACATGATAAAAAATTAGATTGAAGGATATAAAAACTTGATTGAATTTGGAGCTTAGATATTTGAATTCTAGGATTAGTAAGATTTTTTGTGATCTTAAAAAATTTATTAATTTGACTGAGGCAAAATTTTGTAAAAGCATAGTATGCTTAGATCTTTATATTTTTATTGATTTGAAGAAATTTTGAAGAATTCTTGAAGAATTCAACAAAGAATAATCATTGATAGAAGATGAATATCTAAGTTGGAAAAAGACAACAGCCAACATTTGAGAGTATTAGAAGTTCTTTTTTTCAATTGATAAGTTAAATTATTTTTTAAATTTTATGTATTTATTGTATGCTTGAAGATTAAAATAAAAATATTTGATTATGATTCCTAGGTAAATTGTGGAAGGTAAATTAGAAATTGCAATAACAATGGTCTTAAAAAGGGCCTAGTGCATTCTCAAGCAAGACATCATGTAATACAACATTATTGGATGGGGTTGTATGCCTCCTAATCCCACAGTCATTACAGATGTCAACCTTTAAAATTTCTAATTTGACTTGATAACTACTCATAAACACATTTGAATGTTTTTTAGGTAGCACGGATCTATTTAGGTGGTATTAGACATACTTTTAGAACATATTACAATGTATTTGCAATGAAGTACCAAAAGTCATCCTAAACAAATATCTTCTAATTTCACAACACTCTATCAAACCACCTTCAAATAATTTAGGAAGGGCTTCATGAATTAGGAATCTTTTCAAGATTTGTCTTGTATTATTCTTGCTACACATTATTTATATAAACCTAATTATTTTTTACTGATCAAAATGTTATGCTTCATATTACTAAAGTACAAAACATGGAAATAGTACTGAAGAAGAAAGAAAAGTAGAATTAACCAACATCCTCATCGATTGATAAGTATCACGGACTTTTGAATGTCTTCAGGTTCATAATGCCGTCCTTTTTAACGGTCCTCACGAACAGAGTTAGCATTTCACATACCGATAAAGTTTAGAAGCTTGAATTAACTGAATTTTCGGGACTTTACCATGCCACACTCAGTTTGCTAGCCCGTTCTCAGATAGATAGGTGGCAGAGTGGCATAACTCTTAGCATCTGCAATTGTATCCAGAGGATTGTTTGAGAGGGAAGACTTGAGGGAGTGTATTTCTCATCCGGAAGCTAGTGCGAGCACGCACGCTGTCATTCAATTCGGCAGCGAGACGGCCATACTCCTGCCGTGGATATGATTGTAATGGATTCCACCTGAACAGATGTAGACATTGAATGGTGGAGATGGAGGGATGTTGCTTTTTCTCCAGCTCACTAGACACACTAGGCAACTTTGCTGGATGAATCTATCTTCCGCGCTCCTAATTGCATGTGCAACACACTTCGAGGCAAAATTACCTATCAATGTCCTGTCTGTTTTTACTTAAGCAAGTCCATATATCGAAATTGTGAACATCCGCAAGCAAGTGCACCTCGCACGCAATTAATCTGCGTCAGCAGTGGAGCAGCATTCTGTTCTAACTCCGGTTCAGTACGCTGCGCCTCTCCTCGTCTCAATTCTGTTTTCGGTTCTGTTTTGTTTTTTTGGTTTTTTCACTTTTTTGATTTTGTTATTTTTCGTTTCTCTGTATCTCTTCTGCCGCCACCGCTCCTGCTCTAAGTTCTGGTCTCGTCTTTGATTCAATACGTAGCATATCCTCGCTCGGCCATAGCCATGGCTGCTGTCTGGATCTCTCCCCTTCCTTCCGCTTCCTCTACTCTTTGCAGTCCATCGTCTCCCTTTTTCCCTACTCATGGTGTCAAGCGCGCCCTCGCTATGAAAGACGCCAAATTGAACTTCTCGATTCGTGCTTCCAAAACGAGCAGTGGTGGAGGTAAGTCTTTCCGCTTGTCTTCACACAAAAATGCAATAAGGTTCTGCTTCTTCGTATCAAATCGAGTTTTTGAAGTAGATAACATTGGACTGCACAATCTTAACTGTGACGATCATTAATTTGTTTGTCAGAATTTGACCTATGTATAATTGTGTTGCCAGACTTCTTCGTAAGAAACATGCTTGTATTACTTGCGCATCTGTCAAGGTGACAAAGTAAGCGCCAAGTCTAGATCGTGATATTTCAAATTGCTAGTTCTTGCTTTCTTACAGTGCCTTTCTAGTTACTCACTAGGATAGTTTATTTAAAGACCTCCAAGAATGTTTTGCACCATGTACCATGTCTCCCTATGTCTAACGATACAGATGCCAATGAAAGAAGATTACAGAGTTCCTTCGTTGAGAAATAGTCAGAACTTGGATCATGCCTTCAAATTCTCTCTTGGTTGAGATTTCTCTTAATAATATTTTAACTTGGATTTTTTCACTAGGACAACTTGTACATGCTTATGTTCATGTGCAGTGAGTATCAAGGTACAGCTATCCTGGTCTAGTTTGTACGCTATATGCCTCTGCTAAAAGACATGCCGAAATGCGAACATTAATATGTCTGGTCTTAAGTGTGAGTAACGTGGTGGTCTTGGGCTATGCAACTGCTACTGTAGATTCACCGTCCGACTGGAGAGAGAAAGCCAAACCTATTAAACCAGGATCCACGTATCCTGCTAAGGATCACTGCAGGTATGTTTCTTGGTTGCTTCGATATGATTCTATCGTTTGAAGAAATTCATCTTATGGTGCATGACAGCAAGTGGATGATCATGTAAGATTTTATGAATAACCAGATGGTTCTGGCTGGCAGTCAATGTGGACTCTGTGATACTTATTACATCGCGCACGTAAAGGATGCTTGTGCGTTTCTCGGGGATGGCATGTCGAGGATAGAGGTGACATTCTAATCATGATTCTCTACGTGATTATATAGCTTGGGGGACTGAGTAACTTCGTTAGATGATGAATTTTCGTACTATTTTCAATGGTGCATGCCAAAATAATAGTAGGATGGTATTACCACCTAAACACGGTTGTATGTTTAAGGTTCTGGAGCCAAAGGTGCATGGACGCGGACGTAATCCAGAATCGATGGAGGACTTGTTTTTCGGTGTGCATGATGAGATGCTCTATGCACGCAAAACAGAGCCTGTTGAAGGTATTATATCTTGGCACTTTTTAGCAGTTAATATGCGTGCAACACGAGTAATCACAGCAATGCTTTTCTTATTTTTGCAATTCAAATTTTGTTCCTTGTGATTGAAGGAATTCTGGGATTGTGCCGATGGAAGAGTACTAGCTTATGAATGTAAACAAATATGAAACGGAAAAGCAGTTTGAGATGAACCTTCGTCAGTCTTTACGTTGGTCTCCACTAACTTTTGTGTCGTTGTAATAAGAATGACTTTTATGCAAGGTTTCTTTTCTGTAGGCTTTTAGTGAACCAAACATATAATACTTCTCTAGTTTTCATCTATAAAACAAGAGTGCCTTCCTTGACAATATCAACTTGATAACATGTTATTTAATGTTGTCAATTGTGTTAGGTGCTCAATGGACGGGAATCGTGACAACTATTGCAATGGAGATGTTGAGGAAAGATATGGTAGATGCTGTCATTTGTGTGCAGAGGTGAAGACCCTTATCCATCTGATTATGATTCTTGCGTTAGATAATCATCGTGAACCTTGGTATTCTTGGTTTAACGTAAGAAGTCGGGAACTTGGTGTTGAATGCTAGACACTGATAGGCTTTTAAGTTACCTTTCCTGAATTGACTTAGTAGAGAATTTTTTTATTTTAGTGTGTTGTTAAAAAAATCCTTTGCTTCCATCAATGCAGTGATCCTGAAGATAGATTTAAACCTAATCCAGTCCTTGCCAGGTATGGTTCTTCAATCCTTCAAGTCAATCTAATCAATCTCTTATAATCATTAATCTTGGTTAAAGTCTTACGCGCAATCGTTCTCTAGTCTAAAAATGGGACAGCCGTTTATTGAGATTCTTAGTACCTCTTTCAGAAAATTTTGTTTTCGTAGTCGGCAGGGTTTTATTTATAGATATACACAAGTCTTGTTCTTTGGTTTGGACTTGAGGCTTGACATTATTTTCTTCTACTGAAGTATTAGCAAGCGGATAATTTGATTTTCTGACAGGACACCAGAGGAAGTTTTGGCTGCAAGAGGAGTAAAACCAACTTTGTCACCGAACCTCAGCACCTTAGCATTTGTTGAGGTGTTCCTTTGCGCCATACATATAAAATTATTTTTACATTTTCTTTGAAATGTGATTGCTTTTTTCTGAAGATGATTGTTTCTAACGTCGATACATGTTTTGTACCGAGATTCCCTTGAATGTTGATAAGAACTTGTGTATTGCAGGCAGCTGGAGTAAAGCGTCTACTGTTCTGTGGAGTAGGATGTCAGGTTCAAGGTAAGACCCTGATGTGACTGTTCATGGATTATTATTAGATTTTATGTCATATAGATACAGGGAAATACCTGTATAGTGAGGAGCTGAGTACTTGTTTCAGTTGAATATCGTATCAGCTCGGATAAATTGCTCTCTACAGCTTCAGAATTTCTCAGGGGTAATTTGTATTGACAAGAGCTGTATTTTAGAAGATTTATGAACCATTCTCTCAGTCCTTTGTATGATGATGGCTTACAGCAACCTTCGAAGTTCAGTTATATCCAGCTGGGACAGGCACCAGCTGTTCCTGTGCCTGCATTTAATATTTTAATCGTGTTCCATGCCTCAATGATCTATTTTACAAATCATAGAGAGATCGATCATTTTTTCTCTAACGTGTTGCTTGATGTTGAATTTGATGTGGCAGCACTACGAAGCGTTGAAAAGCATTTGGGTTTGGAAAAGCTTTACGTCCTCGGTACGAATTGTGGTAAGTTTGTTTATTCTTGATACACATTGTTCTGCAGTTAGACAGGAGACTTAAACATTCATGAAGGTCCTCAAGTACCGATATCCCGATTTTTATGAAATACATCCACAAAAGTTCACTCAAATCTCACTTTTAGGAGCTTGTATTTGTTATTCATCCTAGAACATGTTAGACTATCATGGTTTGGCAAAATTTTTGGTGTCTTTTTGCCTGGATACATCACGCTCTGAGTTATCATTATTAAGTTGCGCTGTGTTTGTGTTGATCTCAGTGGATAATGGCCCCAGACAGGGACTTGACAAGTTTCTGAAGGCAGCCAGTGACGATCCGGACACGGTCCTCCATTATGAGTTTATGCAAGACTACAAGGCACTCTATCACAAGCTTTTATACTGCGTTATGTTGAATCATTTGTGCAGGGACTCCAAGATTGCCATGTTCCTTCAGAGAAAGGAATTTGGTGGATGACTTTCACCAGATTATGTGGACATTTTCCCCGGTCCGCTCTTCATTTCTTTGGTGCTTCTAAATGTAATTCATCTGAATGGCTAATTTAGTTCCAAGTTGCTGTTGTTCCTTTGCAGGTACACCTGAAGCATCTAGATGGCCGTAATGAGGAGGTTAGTCCAGAAATATGTGTGGTGGTTGCTCTATGAGTCTTTACAATATGGAGATTAGTATTAGTAGTTAAAGCCGTGCGCAAGATCTTTCGTAGACCTAGCCTCTTCCTTGGCTCGGCATATTTTTTCAATATCAAGAGCTTTCTCTGTTGGCTTACGCAGTATTAATGCTAACATAGGTTCACCCACCCATAAATTTCAGTATTTAGTTTGCTGCAACCAAGCAAAGTATTCTCTAAATCCTGGCATTCTTCGAAAAATGCAAGTTTTTCTAACATGAAAATTGATTATATTCAGGTCCCTTATTTCTGTTTACCAGCTGACGATTTGACAGATGTAATCGCACCATCGTGTTACAGGTGGTATTCCATTTTGTGATATTAGTAAGGCATGAATGATTTTCGTTCTCAATATTTGGCATTTAACCAGGGAGCGCTTTCGTCACGATTTATTTTTCAAAAATGAAAAGTTACTAAATATTTCATATCTGTGCTGGTTAATTGCTTATTTATTACTTGGATCAGTCTTTTTAGTGTGTATGCATGAGAGTTTGAATAGATTGGGTTAGTCCTTACATTTTTCCTCTTTCTGACCAGTGTCTGACCTACAATTTTTTGTTTATTTTGCAGTTGCTTTGATTACACAAATGGATTAGCAGTAAGTTCCATTTTTGGACTAATTTTTACATCAATATAAGTTGTTCGTATTGTTTTTGAGTTTTATTATGGAAACAGTTTTCTTACAAAGATAGTCCGTTCCTACAATTCTCGCATGCTTGCACTTTTGTTGATAGCTGACTTGATTTATGGTACAGGATTTAGTGGTCGGGTATATGGGAGTGCCCAAGTATCCAGGGGTTCCTATGACACGACACCCTCAGTACATTACTGTTAGGTGAGTGCTTCCTATTCCTTATTAATGTCCTTTACAAGTAGTTCAATAGTTAAGCTATGCTGATGCTTTTCCTTGTTCCAGATTAGAAACGAGCATGATATTCAAGTTGGATGACCTTGTTTTAATAATTCTTTGAACAAATAATTCTTCCTATCCGCGTCTGCCGATTATCGAAACTAAAAACTTTGAAGAACTTAGAATTGATGTTGACGTGTGCAGAAATGGTCGAGGCAAGGAGATGCTAGATCTAGTGCGACCTCTTCTGGATGTTACACCAACAATCAGCAGTGTATGTCTGATTGCTTTTTTGTGTTATTATTTTTGTTATCATCATCGAAAAATACTATTTATTTATTTATTTATTTATTTATTTACTTAACTTATTTGGGAGATAGTGGGGGTAGAGAGGGGTCGAGGGTGTGCATCCGCCATTGCTTTTGTTTCCCAATTTCCAGATGGCCTTGAGGGATATGTGTTATGATGGAAAAATTATTATTGCTCGTTCGCAGGGAAACAGGGGACCGTTTGTAATGGAAACAGTGAAAGCAGACGATAAAGCCAAATTAGGTGAGTACTTCGTTAACTGGAATGTGGTCGTGTCCATGCTCATGAGAAGGGTTATTTGCAGATGTTTATTATACATCATCTCACTAATTGTCAGAAACTGGGATTCTGATCAATTTTACTGCTAATGGTTAGTGAAGTAGCAACTAGGAAATTGTGGTTCTTGATATGGGCTAGTTTTGATGGAAGCAAAGCCAATTCCTTTTAAACGTTTTTCAATGTCAATCAATTACAATGCATCATTTTCTCAATGTGCATCATTTGAATCACCAAGGAAGGTCCCTCTTAAATTACAGAATAATCCTATTTGAAGTTTAAGTTCATGTGTTGATGCCCATGATTCTCACATTTTAGTGTGATATTTGTGAGTGATGGTTGTAGGTAAGGAGAAAACTCAACCAGCACCAAGATTTGTGGGCAACATTATTGCGTGGCTTCTTAATCTGGTGCGTATGACATCCGAGCCTGGATTTGATTTGGAATACTTTTGTAGCCTGGTATTGCTTATGTTGTAGTCGTGTCGCTGGAAATCGTAGTGCATTATCAAGAAAACTGTATATAACTATTGCTAGATTAGTTTACAATCTGATTGTTAGGTTACATGGTGTGTGTATATCAATATGTGGCGAATGTGACATCCATTTGGGCTCTTTTGGAAATTTAATGGTTTACGTTTTCAGACGTTTTTATTAAAAAGGCAATTCACAATATTCATTGCAGGTAGGACCGAAAGGTTTGGAGTTCGGCCGATATTCTTTAGATTATCATAACATACGCAATTACCTTCATGTTCATCGAGCTTGGGGACAGAAGAGGTAACATTATGGGTATTGCACATATTTGAAGTTTATATGATGTACCTTGCTAACTTGAATCAGAAGCAGGCGTGCATTACTTCGGTCAGGACATGTGCAGTTTTAGTTACAAGAATTGACAATTATTTGTTGCCTTCCTTCTCGCACAAGTCCGTAGTTTGTAGCATCTGAAATGTGGTTGTTTAAACAACACCATTCATCCACTGTAATGAACAACTGAACAAGCGAGAAAACCAAACTTACTTATACTTTGTCCTATGTTGTGTGGATGTAGAGCTGATCAACATATACCCTCTTACGCAAAGAAACTGGTGTCGCTGTACAACAAAAATGGTGAAATCGATAAGATACTCGAGGACAGTAGCAAGTGATCCAACTGGAAACTTGATTTGCTTCATTGGTGTAGATACATGTGGACGTTTTAATTATTAGGAAGCATATTATTCCAGCTGTGGATTGAAACCAAGTCTCGTTGGGAGGCAAATTCTTACAGCATTGTACTCTTTATCTAGTTTTCCCAAATTAAGCCCTTTGATGGTAGTCACCTTTGAATGGATCCCCGTGGTATTTGGTCTCACCCCTAAGATCAATCGTGTTCATCACATGTCCATGCTCTGATGCCAGCCAATCGGTAAGCTTTGCCAACTTAGTGGTCTCTTCTTCTGCTATACGCTACCTCGACTCTACATCCCTCAATTGCCCCAATTTCCCGAATGTCTATACATACTTCTAACCAGTACAGCAGGGGTATCGTAGTCTAGCTTAGCTGCCCTGCAATCATCCACTCCAGGTCGTGGATTGAAGTCATCGTTGGAGAAGACTCTTGTGTCCACCGCCGGGGTCCCAAATTCAATATATCTATATTTACACTCTTTAAAATAAACAAATAAATTATTGATTGTGTTTGTGCGTCTAGATGTTTTTCTTCTTACATTGAACTTGTATTTGCTATCAAATATCTTTGTATTTCTTTCTTGTCCTTGTACTAATTCATATCACTATTATTTGACAAATTTGATTTGATACCAATTATTATCACTTATATGTATTGTATATAGACCAAATTGCATCTGATAAATATGATGTTAAATATTGTTTTTTGTTACTCGAGCTTTTGAGGTTAATAGCAAGCGTGGAACACAACCTTGTGAGACTGGGCTTAATACACATGAGGATGGATAAAAGGCAAGGACTAGTTTACTGCTCAGTTGAAATTACACAACGGCCAGTCCAACAACAATTTTAACTTGTGGTGCTACTTCTTAACTGCCCACCAAGTGCTTTTCCCAACTCTTAAGTACCCCTCTAACATATTGAATGTCTTTTACTCCATTTGAAGTAAATGCTACTTCATAATGGTGCCTAAACCTTATCTCCTCACTTACTACTCCTGTGACGTCGTGCCATTGAGGTACTTTGGTAGGTACCATCAAGAGCAGGTACAGGCTTCTCGAACATGTAACATCCTCGCAATTGAGTGTGGATACTTTGGGCAAGTAACATTTTCATTTTATATATTTTCCAAAATATTATATATACTTCTATAGATTATTATTTTTTACAAATATAAATCTTACATGTTGATTTAATTTTAAGTTAGTGTCGATAATTTATAAGACATTATTTACTTGTAATAGATACTATTTCTTCATTTTGAAAGTTTTTACACTTGGTAGTTTTTCTTTTACATCCTCCATAATTTTTCTAAATGTTTCTTAAATGCTAACATCATCTTTGTCTTGTACCACTCAAGATAAAAATTATCTCTTTCTTGATTTTTTTAAGTGTATAGCAAATCTTCATTGCTCTCAACTCTATTTCCATAATAACTTTTTTAGATTAAAGAACCAATTCAAAGATTTGATACTTTTTTTTTTTATTTAATAAAAAATCCAATCCAATTATAAATGCACTTTCTTATGTTCAGATATATATACATATATATATATATATATATATACAGATACATAATGTAGGGCATGGCATTGAAATGAGAGTACATGTGTATACTCAAACTTGTGTCACATACCTACTTTGTCAATATGGACTGCACTAGACTAGCCAAGCATAATATAGCATTGCTGTTGCTAGATATGGCTAAAATTATCTTCATCCCATGCCAACATTAGGTATGTGATATATTTTTAGGGATATGTACAAATAATTAAATACAAATAAATGGTTGTATGCATTGAGACATAAAAAATAAAAATAATAATAAAAAAGAAAACAAACAAACAAAACAAAACAAAACAAAAAAAAAAAAAAAAACAAATAACACTCTTCTTGAAAAATTTCGGAAATATTTGAGCTATAAAGAGAGAGAGAAAAAAAAAAAAAAAAAAAACTATGAATACTTGAAATGTATGTTTTAAATGAAAGGATAATATCAATGAATGTAAAAATCTAGTATTATTTAAAGAATAAATAAATAAGTAAGTAAATAGATATAAATCATGGCATCTCATGGTACAAAAGTTGAATGATGGTAACAATAATCAACCTAGATTAGTTTAGAGATATTTAGATTAATATGGTTGTGTTTTATATTTCAATTTATCTTATTTATTTTTTCTATCTTAATCATTTATTTAAATTCTATATATGAAATGTTATATTTTTATTTATGCAAAGTGTGTTTTTATCACTTTGGTACTACACATATGTCACGGCCATAATCATGTAAGCTAATAATTACATATAGAAATAGATAGAAGTAAGTAAAAGTAGGTAAAAGTAAGTTAATTCTATAATATTTAATATGAAAGCTCTCTAGAAACTTCCTAGACGCTGCTTTGACTTCATAGGTGTCTTTAATTGACTTTTTGGATTAGAAACGTGGTCAACAAGTTGGCCATGTGCCACACATGTTGTTAGCTTGAAGATCAAGCTAACTATGTAGCCCACACATAGAAAAACTTGCCTTGTAAGTCAAGGCATGTGCCCTACAAAGTCAACACATATTGGAGGTCCTATAGAACGTCGCCACGTAGCCCCTAGTTAGAGAGTATATATAGAGACAAGAGTGAAGGCTTCTTCACTCTTGTCAACTCCTTTCTTGCTTCTAGTCTAGTTTCAAGGATCTCTAGTTTTCTTCTCTTTTGGCAATAGCCATTCCAGTTTCTCTTTTAATATATATACTTGTTTATATATATTTTGTTACCTCTTTTTGAGTGAAGGCTCACTTGTCTGAATTGTTTTTTCATCGAGTTCTTGTCCTTGACAGATTGACAAGAGTACACCTACAATATCAGAGTTTTGTCTAATCTTAATTAAGAGTGGATTACTCCTTTTTTTTGATAAGATATAAGCGTATTAGAAGTTGCGGATTACCCTCTTCTAAACTGATATTGTCCTTAGTATTTTCTTTGTCCGCAAGTCCTCTCTTCTATTTGTCTTGAGCGATATTAGACATCTTCTTTTTTCTAAGTGTTATCATGGCAGAACTACTTAAAATGAAGAGTGCAATGACACAAATGCAAGAGCAATTGAGGGAGTTAATGCTTGCAATGCATCAACTCAATTTACCACCACAAGGAGCAACAAGATTGACAAGAAGTGAAGATATAGAAATGGTTGGAGCTACTTCAACATCTGCACCAAAATATGTCCTTTCTCCTATGGTGGAACGCCCTTCAAATGTTAGAGAACCAAGAATTGCCCTACACGAGAAGTTTGATGGCACCAGATCCAAGTTTCGAGGATTTATCAATCAAGTGTAACTTGTGATTGAACTTCAACCCCAAAGCTATCCAACTCCAGGATCACAAGTTAGATTCATTGGTACGCTTCTTTCAGATTCGGCTTTATCATGGTTTTCATCTTTTCTTAAACAACAAGATCCAATATTGGATAATTTAGAGGCTTTTTTGGCGGAGTTTCAATCCATGTATGGAGAACATGATGCAATTCGTGTTGCAACCAATAAGATCACTATTTTACGACAAGGCAATCGATCAGTAACGTTATATGCTTCACAATTTCGAGAACTTGCAATTGATATCAAGTGGAATGATGTTGCACTTATTAGCCAATTTTTCTACGGATTACAATATGAGATAAAAAAATTAATGCTCAACTTACCTGATCCTCAAACATTGAGTCAAGCAATTGACTTTGCTGTGAAGTGCGACAATCGCCTTTTTGAATTCCGATCTGAGAACCGTACAAGTGGACCTCAACATTACTATAATTCAATGGCAACACCAACACCTCTTCAACACATACATTCGGAAGTAGAGGATATGCAAATTGATGCAGTACGTTTCAAACCTCTTACTGAGCAAGAAAAGACTTGTCGTCGTCAAGAAGGATTCTGTTTATATTGTGGAGAACCAAAGCACACTACTCAACATTGTCCAAAGAAACGACACAATTACAAAATGAGGAGTATGGTTGTGAAAGAAGATAATATGTCAGAAAACGAGTTTGTCCAGCTACAATAGGGACCGTGCGGCTGGAACCTTGCACAACTTCTAGTAAAGGTCCTATTCTCTCCTCAGAACCCTCTCCTTGTTTTACATTAAATGTTATTTTAGGACCTAAACATTAAAAGACTCTACCTTGTTAGATTCAGGAGCCTCAGCGTATTTTTTAGATGAAGAATTTACTAAAAGACATAGCATATCTTTAGTAAAGAAAACTAAACCTGTTCATGTAGAAGTCATAGATGGTCGTCCATTGTCTTCTGGAGATATTACTCACGAAACCCTTCCTATAGAAGTAATAATCAATGGTCATAATAGTTTTGTAGTAATTAATATCATTAGATCTCCCTCCAATCCAATTATTTTAGGTTTATCGTGGTTAGAAAAATACAACCCTCAAATAGACTAGATTTCCCAAACTCTTACTTTCTCTAAAAGTATAACAAACAGTGTAATTAAGCAAGTAGAGAGTCATAAGTCCATTTCAATTAAACCCGTATTTATAGGTGCAAAAACTTTCTTGCATGCTGCTATGAAAGAATCACCATACATTATTTATGCTACACCCATTTTTACTAGTGAAAAGACTTCAAGTGGCATTCCAAGCCAATATCAAGAATTTCAAGATGTACTTGAAAAAAAGAATGCGGATACACTCCCGAAACATTGTCCCTATAATTGCTCAATTGACCTTCAAGAAGGAGCACAACCGCCATTCGGACCAATCTATAGTTTATCACAAAATGAGTTGGCTGAACTCAAGGAGTATATTGAAGAAAATCTAGCCAAGAATTTCATACTCCATTCTAAATCTCCGACAGGAGCTCCAATTCTATTTGTGAAGAAAAAAGATGGATCATTGCGGATGTGTGTTGATTATCGAGGACTCAACAAGATTACCATCAAAAACAGGTATCCACTACCTTTAATATCCGGACTTCTTGATCAGCTGAATCAAGCTAAGATCTATACAAAAATAGATCTTCGAGGAGCATACAATCTAGTATGCATCAAAGAAGGAGATGAATGGAAGACTACGTTTCGAATTAGGTATGGATATTTTGAATACAACGTCATGCCTTTTGGACTTACAAATGCACCAGCAGCTTCTCAACATCTAATGAATGAT